GGAGGCAGGAACCCTTACTAGTTTTAAGGAGAGGTATGATAGAGCTCTATGGGGCGGGAGGGAGAGGGAGGGACCTAGTAGCAATCAGCGAAGAGGCGGGGCAGGCAGGTGCTGTGATCGACCCCTGCAACCACAATTAGGTGAGTACAAATAGGGAGTACACCATCCCACCCTCTACACCAGTCGAACACCACACACACACACACCACTACACACACACAACACACACACAAACACACACATACACAACACACACATACACAAACACACACGCACACACACACACAAACACACACACAACACATACACAACACACCGCATACACAACACACACATGCACACACACACACACATACACACACTCACACAACACAACAACACACAGCACACGCGGTCCCAGCAAACTGGCTTCTTGCAATTCAACCCCGCAAATGTAAAAGCACATGAAGATCGGAGAAGGGCCAAAGAAGCACCGAGACAGGTATAGGCTTGGCGGCCAAAGACTGCAAACTCGCTCAAGGAGAAAGATTTGCGTGGAGTATCACACCGAACACGTCTCTGGAAGCCACTCATCGAGAGATAACTGCGCAGCAGTGGAACCGCATGGCAACCTGAGATAAATTCCGATACCTAAGTAAGGAATCTTTCAAGACCACTGTCACGTGCACGTCAGGCCCATACTGGTGTATGCAGCACCAGTTTGGAACCCCGCACGGGTCAAGCACGTTAAAGAAATAGAGGAAAGTGCAATAGGTTTGCGACAAAATACAATATAGTGGAAGCACAATAGAGAGTAGACATGATACTCATGTACACAATCACAACATACTAAGGCCAGGTGAATGTCCTATGAGAAGTTAGAAGAGATTGATAGGAAGATGAGAACAAAAAATAAAAAACAAGTCTAACAGTGAAATCCCGTACAAATTCCGTTAATATCGACCACTGGAGGAACAGAAAACGCTCGGGTAGACATTAGTGATGGATAAGCGAGTCGTGAATACCTCTGTGCATATAATTGTGTCACGACAGCAAAATACTGTGTGGAATAGACGAGGTGGACAGAGTCACGATGGTTTCAGAGGAGGGGACACAGACACAAGGGGTCTCTCTTGGCCCAAGTGAAGACTCAGATGAGCCTAGGGGATGTTGGAAGCAGTTCTTCAGTTATAGAGTGGGTCAGAAGTGGAACAGTCTGGCGAGCGATGTAGTGGGAGGCATGGAAACCATACGAGCTTTAGACGAGGTATGATAAATCATGGAGCAGGGAGAGAGAGGACCTGGTAGCGGTCGGGAAGAGGCGGGGCCAGGAGCTGAGTCTCGCCCCCTGCAACATTCAGACTATTAGGCGAGTACAATTAGGTGAGTACACCCCCCACACACACAAGAAGAGGTTGACAAAGCTCATGGAGAAGAGAGAGAATGAACCTAGTAGCTACCAGCGAAGAGGTGGGGCCAGGAGCTTTGATTCGACTCCTGCAACCACAATTAGGTGAGTACACAAGTGTGTGGAATAGACTGTAAGTTGCTAAAAGCAGTGAAGAGTTTTTCTGAGGATAGTGAGGCTCAGGTTAGTGTGTGTAGGAGAAAGGCAGATTATTTTCTAGTCAAGGAAGACCTTAGACAGGGATGCGTGATGTCACCATGGTTGTTAAACACATTTATATATGGGGTTGTTAGAGAAGTTAATGCAGGGGTGTTGGGGAGGTGCGTGGGACTGAGAAATAGCGAATTAGATACACAGTGAAGTTGTTGCTTTTGCTGTGTGTCGTCGACAATGTGCTTTTGGGAGATTCCAAACAGAAGTTGCACAGGTTTGTGGATGGCTCTGGGAGGGTGTGTAACAGAAGGAAGTTAAAAGTGAACACAGGAGAGAGCAAGGCGATGAAATGTAACAAAAAAAAATATAGACAATGAAAGATTGACTATTAGATTGGATGGAGTTTAGAGGAAGTGGATGTGTTCAGATTTTTGGAAGTGAATATGTTGGCGGACGGGTCTGTGACAGACAAGGTGAACCACAGGATATTAAGACCTGGAGAAGGTGGGTGGTATGTTAAGGCATCTGTGGAGACAGGGAAATATATCTGCAGAGCTAAAAGGAAGAATGTACCAGATAATAGTGATGGTGGGTTGGACACTTAAGGAGGATGAAGCAAACTAGGAGGATTTGGAGGATATATAGATCAGGGGGGAGGGAATGAGGGGAAGGGGTCTGTTAGAGGGAGGGAAGAGGTAAAGGTTTTGAGTGCTAGGGGCTTGGACATCCAGCAGCCTTGTGTGAGCGTCTGAGAGCGGAGCGGAGTCAAGTGGTTTTTATAACCTAACTTGCTGTTGGAGTGTGAGCAAGGTAATTAGGGAAACCGGTGAGCTGAACTTGAGTCCTAGAGGTGGTAAGGGCAGTGCCTGGCCCCTGAAGGAGGGCGAGGGCCTGGAGGTGCCAGAGGGTCAGCTGAACTGTGACGTCTGAAGACATTTGGCAAGACAGCTGTTATTTGAATGATGGTGGATGTGTTTCTCCTCTTTGGGTCACCTTACCTCGATGGGAGATGGGTTAAAGAATTATATATACAAAGTTAGTGTACTCACCTGTTTGTATTCACCTATTTGTGGTTACAAAGGTCGATTCGTAGCTCCTGGCCTCGCCTCTTCGATGTGTGTGTGTGTGTGTGTGTGTGTGTGTGTGTGTGTGTGTGTGTGTGTGTGTGTGTGTGTGCGTACTCACCTAGTTGTGGTTGCAGGGGTCGATTCGAATGTGTGTGTGTGTGTGTGTGTGTGTGTGTGTGTGTGTGTGTGTGTGTGTGTGTGTGTGTAAGAGAAAGCCAGGCACAGTCTTGACAGCATGTGGGGTAAACAGCTTATTAATCAAATAGCTGTGTGTTGGTGCATTATCCTTCCTGCTAGTTACTACTAGACGCTGTGCGTAGATACTGTTAGTTGTGACTCCAGCACTAGAACACACCTAGAATTTCTGACAACACTAGAACACAGCTAGAATAATTTACAACGCTAGTGAACACAGCTAGAATGTGATTTACAGCACTAGTAAACACTGAATGATTTGCATCACTAAAACAATTTCCAATACCTGAGGGTTGTAACACCTTCAGTAAGGTTGGAACATCTTCAGGAAGATTGGAACACCTTCAGGAAGGTTGGAACACCTTAATTAAGGTTGGAACACCTTAATTAAGGTTATAACACCTACAGGATGATTGTAGCATCTTCAGGAAGGTTGTAATACCTTCAGGAAGGTTGTAATACCTTCAGGAAGGTTTTAATACCTTCAGGAAGGTTGTAATACCTTCAGGAAGGTTGTAATACCTTCAGGAAGGGTGATACCTTAGGAAGGTTGTAATACCTTCAGGAAGGTTGTAATACCTTCAGGAAGGTTGTAATACCTTCAGGAAGGTTGTAATACCTTCAGGAAGGTTGTAATACCTTCAGGAAGGTTGTAATACCTTCAGGAAGGTTGTAATACCTTCAGGAAGGTTGGGGCACCTTCAGGAGGTGCTTGAGTAAGAGCTGAATATTTCATGATGAATCAATGAGGTGAATCAACGACGAGGTGTGATCAGCGTGAGAGAGAGAGAGAGAGAGAGAGAGAGAGAGAGAGAGAGAGAGGACAGCTTGAAGCAAGTTTCTATACCACAAGACGGGCAGGAAGCAGCAACTTCACTCTGGCTGTACCCTTGTCCAGAACATCACTTCATCTGAGATCATTTATTCCCAGGATGACTCGAGTATGGAACACATTCGTACAGCATAATGATGTCAACGAGATAAAGTCAGTTGATCAGATGAAAATGCTGGCCCACAGATGGCTCCAACTTCATCCTGTTCCCTACTTGTATGTCTCATAACAAAAATGCTTTCAAATGAGCTGATGTAGGTAACAGCTCTTAGCTTGTCAATAAATTTAGAAATCCTTAACTTACCCTTGTCAAACCCTGTGTAAAGAAAAGAGAGAGAGAGAGAGAGAGAGAGAGAGAGAGAGAGAGAGAGAGAGAGAGAGAGAGAGAGAGAGAGAGAGAGAGAGAGAGAGAGAGAGAGAAAGGCTCTTACAAAAAGCCATCAACAGTGTAGGTGAGTATGCAGTGCTATCATATCAGTCACTGGTAGACAGTGATAAACACATAGGGCCAGGAGCTATGGATCAACCCCTGCAACCACATATAGGTGAGTGAGTAACACACACACACACACACACACACACACACACACACACACACACACACACACACACACACACAACAGTACTGTGTCTGGTGTGTGCGACATACCAGATGGGATTGAGTCATATGTTTCTGCTTATTATGATGTTAAAGTAATGAAGGAATAAAAAATA